GTTTTGGATGAAAATGTTGATACATGCTAGAAACCATTAGACCAGTTTATGAACAAAATTTTAGATCTAAATGTCTTCACTTGAGTTCGCAGTAGATATCGTGCTCTACACCGAAAATCAGTAAAATGGTTGTAACTTTTGATTAACAACTCATGAGCACGAAAGCTTTTATGGTTTTCTTAGTCTCACAGAAGTCTACTTAAAGCCAAAAGATAGAATCAAAAGATTGGAAGCAGTTGGAGTGTTGTCTTTGTAAGATCCACTTATGCGCAGTTTTATTTTAAACTCAGTGCGATACAGTTATTGATGCTCTTCAGTTTTTTGTGACCAATAGTTTATATTGTTGCTTTCTTCATCGTTAAAAACGACTCTTTGCCATATGCTTAGGCTATTTGTTGACTACATGATAGTTGAAAGTGCTCAATCCTCTATCACAACATAAGTTAGTACTAACGTTAATCTTTCTCCAAAATTGCGCACTTTCGAGTTCTACATGTTTTACAGATAAGATATTTTGGAACAACAGAAATCATTGTCAATTGGCGAGATAATCCTCTGGAATAGACTACTTTGCAACATGATCGAGCCGGCACATGGCAAAATTTCAACAATACTCAAAAGTTCTATTCAAAATTGTCATGTATCAATAATCAGCACACCATTTCTGATGAATTAACATAGATCAGTCTTTAATAAACGGAAAAATAACTTTTGGGTTCCGAACGGACGGATGGCCTGGGATGTGAAGTTATGAAAAAAATTATTTTTGGATTGAACATAAGATATGTATAATTAGATTCTGATAGAGTTTCATATATGAATCAAACCTGAATGCTTGGAATAAAAATTTGAAAAAGAAATAATAAAATTAAGAAACTTCTCTTCCTGTGAAAATGTGCTTTTCTACAGAATAATCTTGTAAGTTGACAATGAGTCTCCACTATGCAGAAAAATCTTCTCTGTGAAGCATATAGAGCTCGATAATGTGCAATTTTTCAGGAAGTTTCATATTGATGCTGACTTGTTTTGTGATACAGGATTGAGTACATTAGAATGTCATATAGTCAAGAAATAGTTGTAGGACATGGCAAATAGTCATTTTTAACTACGAAGAAAGCAGTGATGAAAACTATTGATTATAGAAAAATGAAGAGCACCAACAACTGTATCAAATGGAGTTTAAAAGCAAACTATCCATAAGTTTATCCTAGAACATCTTAGGAACCATAATGTCTCTGAGTACCATATATATATTCCGTGAGGATGATGATCAGTATATGAATCGCCACCATTTGAAAATTTAAGGACAACATCATTTCTTATGCAAAATTTGATGCGCCCAGAATCGCTCTACATGACTATAAATATGGTATGCTGATTCAATATAGAGCAACGAATCTGATGGAATTCTTTGTGCAAAAGTTCTTTGTACTTTGCTAGTCTTGAAAATTAAAATGAGTTCAGCATAAATAGGGGACGTTGATCTACTCGACACACTAACTTAATTCATCACAGCTCTATAGACCTTTAATAGTAGATAATCATTCATATAGATGGTTAAATGATAAATCAACAGTATCCTCTAGGAGCCATTGCACGAAAGGGACGATCCAAATGACGGATCACGNGGTCAAGTTCAAATAAAAATCTTTGAACAAGGATGCCAAACATGTGAAACATACAGTTCAGGCCGCTTAGACCAAGATAGCATTGAGCAGGCCTTCTATTGGCTGCATATTTGGCTATTAAAGAAATTCTACGATGTCGAAATCTATAGCAACGATTGTTCTGATCAACCAAAAGACGGAGGTCTCAGTCGTGGTCCACATGACTCCACACTCTGCAAAGCGTGTGCCCAAGGATGGTGCAAATATCAACAACAAACAAAATCGGATTTCAAATTGGTCTCGAGAAAAAGAAAAGAAAAATACTAACTTTGATCTGTTCATTTTACCTGTAAATGTTATCGTTTTCTTCAAATAATAAACAAGCTTACATTGTAAACACTATTCTGCGATATTTTACTATAGAAATACATTCTAGTTATTGTTCGAAAATGGTATCACCCAGAAGGAGAAGAGATCAAAATGAACAGTGAGATTACTTTTCATACTACCTCTTTGGAATGACAAGTCAGAAGAAGTTTTCTTTTTTTCTATCTTGACTTTTCATTGTTGGCAGGGAATCCACCACCACTAAAATGCATTCCTCTTTTTTTGGGTCGTTTCTCTACCGCTAGTACGTAGATTCTTGAGCATTTTGAAGTAGAAATCATCAACTGTTAATCAATGCCAAATAAGGACAGCTCTCCGGCTGAGTCATTTTTAGACACTTTTTGTTGCAGGTCTTTGTCATTGCAATCAAATTTAAATATCTTCTCGAGTAGTTGATAGTTGGGTAAGTGGATGTCGTCATCACACACACATTCTCAACTCGATAAACTCTTTCCGATGCACTGAAAATAATTTTGATAGAAAATGTATCGAGTATTCTTTTTCCATGTATAGTAATAGTAAAATATTCCCAATAGAAGATAATGGCCTGTTTCTTCTCTACATTCACTAATGCGTGACTCTCGTATTTCATAAAGCATAAGTTCAGCATGTAACATTCGAGATATTGAGATTTTTACACTTTCAACATTGCTATTAGTAACGGTAGTTACAAAAAAATTGCGAACAGAAGATGGTAGTGACAAGCAAAAGATGTAATTATGATTTATGTTACATCGGTTTTTGTTTAATCGTGAAAGAATAAATCGAAAAAGACATGAATGCATTGATTGCTACCATCGAATGATAGCCGTCTTTATTTTGTTTCTCTAACTGTAATACTCTCAGTTAACTAAATAAAGAGAAAAGTAGATGAATTTTTTATAATGGATACGTAATGGACAAGGATGTCGGCATCTGTATGAGTGTATAATTAGCTACATCCACACCTAGCACCTATGTGGCATGATAGTGAAACTATCGTTCAAGAAGCATAAAAATTGTTCTCAACAACATCGAACATCAATAACAATTGCACATCGTTTATCAACAATTGAAAATACAGATATGATTTTTGTTCTTCATAATAGTGCAATCATAGAAAGTGAAAGTCATAAAAAGTTACTTGCTCTTGATAGTCAATATTATTAATTAATATCATGAAAACTAATGTAATTTATTATAAAAAAAATTTTAAACTTAAGTAAGACATTTTATTCAATAATGTAAACACTATGGAAGTGTATTATTAAAAAAAGGAAAAATATTTTGCATAATAAAATCTCGATTAGGTGTATGTGGAACATCTTGATGACGTACATGTGAAGTAAATGTATATAATTTTCCTTGTTCCCATAATGTTCTTAATCCAATAAGATCTTCTTTAAATTGTCTTGAATTATTCCATGTTTCAATATGAAGTGAATTCCGTGCATAACCCATAAACCAACCTGAATGTCTTGGTGTAACGATTTCATCAATATCCGAAAAAGTCATAACAAATGCATTTAATTTCAGCATATTTGTACGATATGTTTCATTTCGTACTTTACGTTCATTATTTATATCGGGAAGAAAATGACAATCAGATGTATATCTATCCAATTGATCAGGGTCACGCCAATAATTTGCTGCACTAATTACATTTTGTACTGAATCTTCATATGCATATTTTGTAACTAATTCACGAAATTCTACAGGAAGTTTTTGAAGATATGGCATGCCGAATACTCCTTGATGAACACCACTTAATGTTATTAAATTATGAACAGGTAACGAACATTTTTCAAGAGCACCACGCACAATAACACTTCCTTGAGAATATCCAAGCATATTAAAACCTTGCCGAAGATTGTCATCATCAAGAACAGATTGACAAAAATGTTCAACTTGTTTACCTACTGGCCATAAAAATGAATCCTCTTTTCCATTACCAATTTCGATCGATACAACATAAATACCAGGAAAAGATGTTCGAATCCAACCAGCTAATTCATCCATATCATCAGCATATGATATAATACCATGCATAAGAACAACTGGTCGATAAACTGAACTTGAAAGAACAGTTGTAACGAATAAAAGAAAAACAAGATGAATCATTTTTTAATTGCTGTTCTAGTATTTTTTTATGCAACTACTTAAAACAATAGTTCTTTTATAGTTTTTTTTTTATTTAAAGAGATAACTAACCGACATCTGTTAATTCCCATATATTGTAGTTTGCACATTTAGCCCATAAAAAAAATATATTATTTAACCCTTCATTGAAAAATGTTTTGAAGATAAAATGTATTACAAATTTTTAGAAATTGAGTTGTCACCACTAAAATAACCTACATTGTTTAGTATTCATTTCTAATCAATGAATCTGTTTTAGTTACTAATAATAATCCTATATATAAAATGGATGAAAAACAAAGAGAAAGAACAAAAAACTTTGTCACTTATATCTACGCTTAAGATTATAATGTGATAGAATGAAAAATTTAAAGCATAAAAATAAAACTGATTATTTAGTTCTGTTTTAGAGAATTACAAATAGGATCAGAAGAAGTTTTTTACCATTCGACAAAAGCAAATGCTTCATTTACAAAAAAAAGTATTCTTTTTTTTTTCGAAAGTCTATTAACTCACAAAATGTGCATTGGATTCTATCAAGACATCGTATGCATACGTAACATTATTCGATTATTTTATCAATGATAATTCAGGTCAAAATACCCTCTTTTATCTTTCGCTTCTATTCAAAGCTATTGCATGAATAAAAAAATCTATAGCAATCAATTTTATTCGACTTTTTTAGAACAACTTAATAAATAGAACTGATAAACGAGAATAATTCACCTCATAAAATTGTAAATAATAAAAGATTTTTTTTGTAATTTAAAAATATTTTCTACTTAATACACGTATTACCATTATCGTCAATGATCTTCTTATTCAGTAATATAACACTTTCAAAGAGCAATTTTCAAACTGGAATATTTTTATTCAAATATACAAAATTTAAATTCGTTCATGATTGTTTGATTTTGTATTTTTCATAATTAAATATGATAATTTAAATGAAAATATAATGATAATTGCCTAAAAAGCAAAACAAAGATCTATAAAACAAAATTATAAAAATAAAGTATCATTACATCAAGAATAACACATATCAAACTTGTAACAATTGGAATTACAGTAAATGGTCGATGAGTAACTTCTTTAGATGGTTGAGAAGTTATTATTACGATTCCAACTGTAACAGATACGATAAGAATACACGTCACAATTATATTAATAATTCCTAACCATGCAAACTAAAAAAAGGAAAATATCAAAATTAACTATTCAAAATCAATACATATCATTTAGCTATTACGACAAATAGACCCGTTGGATAGTATCTTTGAGTAACAAGCATTCCTGAAGCAAAAAACAAAATCCAACAAAGAATAACGATTGGTTCATAAGTATTTGTTTGGTAATTGATTGATAATGAATAAAGAACTATCATAAAAATAATTATACAAATACCCTACAAAGAAAAAATTGTTAACTATTTATATTCATAAATCGAACTTACAAGTACAATAGAAATTAAGAACATAAGAATTTGTTGTGTTCGTTTAACTTCAGATATTCGATTAAATGGAATTGATTTAAAATCAAGAATAGGACCACTAATTCTTATTGCCATACTGTCTAATACTTCTTCAGTAAATCTTATTTACATATATATTGTACAGTATGTCGTCTATTCTATCTAAGATGTTACTATATAGCTGTTAATGATGATAGAATAGAACAAAAATAGAACTGCAATATTTGTTCCGTATCGATATGACTAATAATATGATGTAGCTATGGAGACGGAATACGCAAATGACAAATGTTGAGATATAATTAACTGATGACGACAAAAACCGAGGACTCAATATAGAAAAAAAACGGAAAGTAATCACTAACGAAGGACTGGTATAAATAATTATCTTTATAAATTATGAATATTTTTTGTATTAACCTAATTATATTATAATCAAAACAAAAGAAAAATTTCTTATTTTATCTTTTAAGAACATTACAGTAATCTCTCTAATGTGGATACCATTGGGATCGACCAAAAGTGCTTACTATTCGGAGATTTTCAGTTTCTTGTGGTCAACCTATGAGTATTCAATTGGAATCATTTGTCTACTGCACAGAATGACTTTTTCCTCCTTTTCAACAATAAATTTTAATCAGAAGTAAATCAACATATGTAAACACGAGTTAAAGTTACTAGCCATTAACACAGAAACAATAAGATATTAGACGAAGGTATTGTTGTTGTCATGTAATATTGTTTTCTTTTCTGTTCAATATCTACGGTTAGTCTATTTAATTTTTTGACATGTCCCATTATTGTTTATCATAACATAACAACATTAACCTCATTTTTTTTCTTGTTCTGCACATGAATGATAGAACATATGTTGCTTACATTACAGATATTATCACAGCCCATAGGATCCGACACAAATGTTTACCCCCACTATAAGGGGGATGGGGTGTTCATACACATTTATTTCAAATAACTGCAGAATTCTACGATGATGCAACTTGAATATTCTACAATATTATACAGTTACTTGATTTCAAAGTAAAAAGCTAATGTGTTGAATAGTGATTCGAAGTAATACTGACACTGATACAAATCAATTGAAAATTTCATTTATCTAAATTATATACCTCACAAACCAATATAAAAAGAATCATGAATAATAATAGTTTGAAATAAGAAATAGTTTATATGTCTCAAAGTAAATGAAGATTACGTTTTATCAATAAGAAAAATTCAAATATTGATTAAAAAATATATGAATTCTATTAACGATATGTACATGTTAGACTATTTCATTCGGTGGACTCTAGAAAGACTGAAAGGAAAAATCTCGAAAACTTCAACTTACGAAACATTCTTTATTCTTGGCATGAACCTAACATTGCAACATATATCATACACGAATTAAGAGATAAAAAGAAGAAAGAAATAATCGTGCCATTTTTTTTTCTTTAGTGACTGTAAATGATAAACCATCTACATATTTGATTACATTTATAAAGCCATAATAATATCCTGCATCAAGATTATATATACGACATTGAATAGTAACTGCTTTGGTTTGTTTTGCTTTCTTGCACTTAAATCTGTCATGAATTAAGTTTACATGTAATGAAAATGATTCTTTGATCCTTGTAGACATTTTTATAAAAAACGAAATATTTGGATGATTAAGCTGTACTCGACGATTAAAACGTCTGTGAGATACTAAGAAAAACATAAGTCAGCATTTACTAGAGACGTTACTTGTTTCAATATTTTTCTAATTTCAACATTTTCTTGTTTAATTTTTCTATCATCAATCTTTCATTTCTCTAATAGTTGTTTGCTAGAAATCGTTTTGCTAAAATTGTAAATAAATCGAACTGTACACAATAAATAAAAAAAAAGAAAATTGGAGAGTTCTAAGAATTTTAAATCACATACTAGACAAAATGAAATTCAAAGATATCTGATCAAATAAATCATAGCAATACTTACTCTCATATAATTATTACCATAACTTAATAAGAATACATGTCAAAACAAAATTTTGTCAAATTTTCAAATGCATTAAATCAATATCCTTCTAACAAAGTCTATCAGTAACTGTTAATCCAAAAATTTAACATAAGAGAAAAAATAATTAGTTATAGCTAAAGACTAATCTTGCTAAGTTGATGGCATCATTTACTATCAGTTATAAATGAATGCGTGACGAAAAATAAAAACTCTTATTGTATGAAAAGAATCTTGAATATTAATGTTAATTCAAATAAAAAGAATATTGCGTATTTAATTCGTTTTTGTTGCTTGTTAGCATTATCATATCAGACTCATTCATATTCAATTTTTTCTCATTAGTTTCTGTTTCGAAATGCATAATAATATTTTATTTGTACGTATAAATATGACGAAATAAAAGTAAAAATAAATAACGTAAATAAGCACATTTTCATGATAAAAGAACCATTGGATGAAAATATTTCTATTTAGTTTAAGAAATATTTTTCTTGTTTATGCTCATATTTTGCATTCAGATTCAGTGACTAAAATCGTTTTCTAATGACTCAAACTTAATTGATTTGAAATTTAATATTACACACTTGGTGAAGTGTAAATTTGTGTTCTTCAAAAAGTTATGTTGCTGCGTGTTTTGCAGCTGAGAAGAACACCCTGTTTTGCATTAATACGATTTATGGGAAAGATATTACTGCGTATTCAGCGAATCAAGACGAAGAAGAAATTGTTCTTATGCCTGGAACTTGTCTGCGCGTCCAATCTACATCAGGCGGCATTAATAGTTTCTTCGTTGTGCATTTGAACGAATGGTAGGTCTGTATGAAGCAACCCATGAAACCCAATGAAGCGATGGCCTAATAATGAAATTCTTTGAACATCCTATTCCATGGCGTTGCCTAGAGGCACATGAAACTGCAGTAGTTGGGATTCAAACATTCCGACAACAGTTGGAATTGATCCTACTTGAATTTAGTCTGGAAAAAAATGAAAGTTCTTCGATGGACACTATCTGCATCATAGGAGCAAGTAACATATGCTATACAAAAGTTTTTGTCCTGAATATATTGAGCAGCTACAAACTTATGACGTGAATCACAATATGTTTTTCTCAGTAATATTTTAAGTTATTTTGTTTTACTGTGTAAGTGTTCTTTTGAGTATAACTTATCGGAATACATCTTTTGGCAATTACATCCCTTTCAGAAATAACAGTAGTGATAAAGTAGTCATTTGAAAGAAAAAAGCCTTTTTTTGAGCACAATATAGATGCTATTAATCTTTAGTGCACGAAACTCACTAAATAGCTTATGTCAAAAAATTGTGCATAATAAGTTGCATTTTGCAAGCTGATGATATGATTGTGTGACCTTCTTACAGAAGATGTAACGCAGATATGTTAGCTGCCAATTTTCACCGACGTCGTCTCTGTTTCGCATAAAGCATTTTTGTGGTCAGAAAATCTCTTGTAGTTCTCTTATGTCACTATCTCCAGGAGTCTTTGGCAGAAAATTAAACACTTTTCAGGCACTCGCACGAGATCAAGGCATTGATTAACTATTTTGCCCCATATTGCAATTATTAGAAATATTGACTAATGTATCTCGAAAAATTTTTACCGCTGTCGAGTGTCACAGAACTTTTCTTCACCACCGCCGACAAACTTATTCACTGATATCTCTAAATATAGCTACACAGAAAATGAATAGAAAGTTATTAGGCAATGACAGCAATGACACATATCTGTTCAGAGCAAGGAATGTTAACCCGTTATAAATCGAGTAGAATATCATTGTTGTTCAGTTTGTAGCTTCATGATTTAGCAGAAAGATGCTATCATGTCAACTATTAATAATGCCACAAAAATTACTATGTAGTTGCGAAAAAAGAGCCAAAAAACTCTTTCAAATTTCTCAATGTAATCGTATCAGAGTTTAACTGTGATCTATTCTCAAAGTATGCGCTCTGTCGAAAAGTAGCAATTTTCATTGGTCTACTCGTTTCTTACTTGAAATAAGGTCCAAAAATCCTTAGTCCTTTTAAAAAAAGGATGCTAGAATTATTTATTTTAAAACGTCATAATCACAAAAGAAAGCTGACTGAAAACGAAGTTTGTAGTATAAAACATAACTGCTTTATTCATTTCATTTCAATACATATCTGGCAAGCGATACTTTAATTTAGTGCTTATGCAATAAAGTAGTCAAAGAACGTAGAAAACGCCTCAGACACGTCATCAAAAGCCTGACATCAATCGTCAAGACTGTTATATGAAAAAAGTACTGAAATACTTTCGATTGTTCGCAGCCTAGATGATTGTTTGATCTTAAGAATTTTTTTCTTGAAAATAAGAAATCTCATGCGTTCATTTGATGATGCAGGTGTGATTGGAATGACGCTCACCTTTAGATATTACCTAGAACCAGATGGTATCTCACAATAGTGGAAATATGCGTTTTGTTGAACCATAGCCAATCTTGATCAATCAAAAGCATTGCGATATTTACATGCACATGTATTAGTCGGAAAACCGGAAAAATAGCTTTTCCAACCATGCAAAAAGATCACAGCTAACGCTCAACAAAACTGATTGTTATCAATTTTCTGTATTATCTTTGATAGATACATGAAAACAAGACTCCAGTTCTACACCCAAGTTATTTCTATTCACAAATAAGCCAGTAATCAACCAGAAAGTGTTGAAAAGTTTTTTTACACGAGTTCGATGCACATTTATGAACCCATAGGCTTCTTATCTTTTTTTGATTCAGTTTTACACAAGGCGAATTTTATATGCGGCGTTTTATCCACAAAAGTTGCTTTTTAAGTTCCCATTCATCTTACCCTCTTCATATTAATTAATATCTAATTCATATCTTTTAGTTCTCCGATTCCCTCAGGGAAACATGTCATACTGTCTTATAATTGCAAAAGTCAAGATACTCTATCTGAAATCAATGAAGTTCTTAGAGAAGGAAATATTGCAGTTTGGTTCGACGGAAACGATGACATGAAAGAAGATATGTGTGAAAGATATGCCTATAAAAATGATTATTCTTCATTGCTACAATGTATGTGAACTATTTTTTTGCACATAG